ACTAAAAGCATTAGCCTCAAGAGAGGGGACAGACACTTATTTTCATCTGGAACCTCTTCTAACCGGTTTGGTAGATTTGACGAACCGGTTCTACCGAATAGGTGCTAACTGGTAGGAACCCACCTCTGCTGCTGCTGAATATCCGGTTGCAGGAACACCTCCTGACATTCAACTCTAAATAAAGCTTATACTGAATGAGGTGAAAGGTCCAGTCAGGTGTGCATTTAATACCATATTCTGCAAAGTTTTGCAAGGCCCAGATCATTACTTTAGGTAGATTCAAAGCAGAAGGTCTTAACTAATATCATCCTTCAACAGATTTACCTCCAGGAGTATACAGGTCTTTGTGAGGAAAAAGCTGCAGTGCCATCTGTGTGATATGAGTAAAAAAATAATAATCCCTCAAACTCTGTCTTCAGATAAGATTTAGTCAATAAACTAAGAAAGAGTGAGTTGTCCCAAAAGGCAAAAAGCTGGGTACCATTTTTTTAAAAAAAAGACAAGAAAAGCTATTTCTCTAAGGTAGCTTACTTAGGATATGCATAACATAAGATAAAAGAGAAGCTTTCTATTACTCATAAATATTCAGGTCTTTGTCACATTCTTTTAGCGATGGCAGCAAGAGAGGAATTCATGCTTGATTACTAAGTAAGGCCTTTGGGTAAAGGATCAAATGAAGCACTTGTAAGAGTTCTTGTGCGTTTTTTAATTGAGCTACCTTTAGTTTACAAGACTGAGTTGAAGAGATGAGGCAGAAGAATGTTTTCAGCGCTTTTATAGAGAAACTCTGTTATGTGCTTTGAACTAAACGAAACTACCAAAGTATTGAATATTATGGAATGGAGAGTCTAGTGTACTTAATCCCATATAAATTCTTTTGTTCACCTGGGCCATAAATTGTATTTTAAGCAACCGCCATGCTTTCTTTCTTCCATGGGAAATAAACTTCATATGAATCCCACTTTCCATTGATTGTTCTGGATGGTCTTGGGCAGAAGTTGCAAGTCAGTCGGCACATCAGTTACCCCTGGCATAAATTAATCATTTAAGTACCCTAGGCTGCCCATTAGGATGGAATCGTTTGGATGGAAGGTGAAAGAAAAGTTCTGAAAAATTGTATTTTGCTTGTGATGAAATTGATAAGACTCTACTAATCTTTTAGATATCAGAGTAGGTGAGGTCTTTCCTTCATCCTAGGGCATTGTTGCATATCTATGCCCTTGATTTTATCTTTTTTACACCCTGCACTAGGGAGGCCTAGTGGGGCAATGGTTAGCCTGCAGTAATGCAGGATAACTCTGCCCATAGTCTGGAGTTTGAACCTGACAGGGCCAAAGATTGACTCAGCCTTCCATCCTTCTGAGATTGATAAAATGAGGACCCAGATTGTTGGGGGCAATATGCTAACATTATAAACTGCCCAGAGAGTGTTGCAAAGCATTATGGGAGAGTATACAAGTCTAAGTGCTATTGCTATTGCTACAAAGGGTTGTTCTACGCAGTACAGCAGGATTTATTAGTAGAAAATCTCTGTATATGCTAAAAACACGTACATTGAAACAGTGTTTTCTGTTGATTCTTATTGTATTATTTTTTATCCTTTTGCCATTTTACCTGGCAACGTTTATTTAACTTTTGGGAATTTGTACATCACCAAAACATAGTTTCAATGTTAATATGGTTTAAGTAATATTTTATTCTTGAAATGTCCACTTTTTAAACTTAATATTGCTTCTGATAGTGCAGTTTTGATAGTATTATAATAGTGAAGCCATTTCTTTTCGATCATAAATAGCATCTTAGTAAAACAATGAATTTTTATATTGAGATCTACACAAGTGATCAAGAGTCTAATATGGTTTGCTTTAAAAACCGAACATTTTTACAGTACAGCAAATACATTTTATACATTGTTAAATCCCTCTTTTTTAGGAGCTACTACTTGACTGAAGAAAATGAAGGTGTTTAGTAACATTTCTTCCTTTTGAAAAAAAAAGAGCACAAAGCAAAATCAAAATTGGCTAGGTGATGGGAAGGAGGGAAGGACTGGCTTTGCTCACCTAGAACATGGTTTGGGCAATTCATTGGAATCCTAAAATTCTCCACCGAAAGTCGTTCTTTACATATGTTTGCTACTGCAGGACAAAAATAAGGTGTGGGAAATCAAATGCAAGAAAGTTTTAAAAATGTTTAGACAGGAAAATCAGAAAATACAAATATAGCTCAAATGTTAGTGGTTCAAGTGCCCGTCTGATTTATGCCTTTTGAAAAACTTACCTTTTATATACATTTACAATTTTCTCTTGAGTAATCCCAACTCATACATGTATTGGAAATTAGGATTTGCCCAAAACAATAAGCTTAGCTAGAATTTGTTTTGCTTAACAACCCATGGTTTATATGGCAACTAAGCACAATATGAAATACCATGGTTCATTTTAATCAAGGCTTATTGTGATGTCCGAGTCCAGAATTCTGGCTTATTTGTAAGTCGCTGCTTCTACTTTATCTGTCCAATGAATATAAGGGCAAGGCAAGAACACTATCTGACTCCTAAAACCCTTTCAAATACATATCCATAAATGCTCACACATACCACTCAGACAAAATCACACCACAAAAATCCCCCAAACATACACCCTATACCAAAACACCTCACAAAAATGAAAGAAACTGATAAAAATGCACAAGACTTCTAAACTATTCAAGAATCTCTCACACATAAACCCAACAAAAATGGCCCATACATAGGAAACCGCCCCCCAACCTCACATAAACACATGGTGAACCCTGCAGCATCAAAAACAATTCAAACCATGTTTAAGAGACCTTCTGTTTTAGTGTTATTCATGATTTAGCCATTACTTTTTGTTAACAATTTGTTTAATGATCCACTGCTTATGGTTTGTCATACATCCTTATCAGATGTTTTTTTCCAGTCTACACTTGAGGCTAGCTCACTTTGTACTTAGGTCTTAATATTTTTTTTTATTCACTAAGCTTAATGAAGATGATTCCTATCTTTGAATCTCCGTCCCTCCACCAAGCCCTTTCAAGCCTTCTCCTTCAATTCAATCCTTCAATCGATACACCCACGTTACACCTATCCTCCGCGAGCTGCACTGGCTTCCAATCGGTCTCCGGATACGCTTCAAGGTGCTAGTTATTACTTATAAAGCCCTTCATGGTATTGGNGTAAGAAAGATTTGTTTTTCATTCTGTTATTTTCAGGCAGAGACTGTAATTAGGTTTATTTTGGGCTCAAAGCCAGCCTGAGCTGAGAACTGATAAAGAGAGTTCCTTTTAAGTTGTTTGCCAGTCGTCTGTTTAACGAGCAGAGACGGGGGGACAGAACAGTTTTCTTAGTAAGAACATGGAAGCATTGCAATATATGGGCAGATGTCAGTGATCCGCACATTTGCTTCTTGCTTTTCCACGTGTAAAATGTAGCAGCTTACTTGCCATTCCCACATATTGCCATGAGATGGTCTGTTTTTGGACTATAAAGACAGAACAACTATTCTGTTTTTTCCCTCTTTAACAGATTTTATTTTATAAAGAAAAAAAAGACATGTAATTACTAAAGGAAAAATCATGGGTTGAACAAGGACTTGTCTAAAATTTGATGGAGGGATGAAGGCAATTACATAGTAAAAGCCTTATGGGTAAGCAGTGGAAATTTAAATAAAAGAAATTATTCTTCTATAACAGTCGAAGAAGACTGAGTGGGAGGATTTCCCTACCCAAGGATCAGAACTGGCTCTTTCAGTAACTATTGCTGGTTCTTTAGAGGGTTTATATTTTCTCAAGATACGAAGGTGGGGAGGAAATATATTTTGATAATAGGTTGTTTGGTAATTCTTAGAAGAACATAAGAAGGATTTCTCCTCATGCTAATTCCCACTTACACAAAATGTAACCCTTAGTTGTTTGATTTATTCCTCTCCCTCCTTCCCCTCCCCCGTCTTTCTTTTATGCCTTTGAATGAAACACCCTTTTACTGCAAGTCATGACTTTTTGCAGTACAGAAAAGCTTCCTTTTAATATGCAGATTGGGTCTTTCTTAGCATTTCCTTCTAAATCAAAGGCATTCATAACAAACTCAAGACCACAGCTTTATTTTCAAATAAGATTATTAAAACTCTGGCTACTCCAAGTGAGAGATAGCAGGGAGCATTGTTTCTCTGTGTAGAACAACTTTATTTCCATATCATCTAGGAAACTCGGCCAAAACTAATTCTCTTATATGAATGCTGCAGCAGTTTGCAGAATGTTTCATGACATTGTAGTAGTTTCCTCCAAAGCTACAAAAAAGCAATTGATGGAACAAGAGATCCCTTGTATCGTTGACTACCCAGCATTATCTTGCATCCATAATATAGGAAAAGCTATTCATAGCCGTTCACTTGACAGAAACTTTGAATCAACTGCAGCTGTTTGAGCAATTACTCTGGGCTTGCTATAGCAATTTGTTATTAGTATGAATCAAATATTCCCAGTAGGATAGGAAAAAAAACCGGTTGATTCTGAAAGAGTGGAGTCCTGCTTAGTTTCTAGGTTGCAGGATTAACCTTAATGATTCTGTGGGAAGTTATCATCCAGCCCTCTCCCAGAAAAATGAAATATCCTAGGAAATATTGAAAAGGCAGAATATTTATCTGGATATGAATAGCAATAGCAGTTAGACTTATATACCGCTTCATAGGGCTTTCAGCCCTCTCTAAGCGGTTTACAGAGTCAGCATACAGCATATCGCCCCCACAATCTGGGTNTTTCAAATAGAGACACAACGTAGTAGAGTAGCTAAATTGTGGGATTAAGACAGGGAGGATTGGTCTTGGATCTGCTTCTAACATCTTATCCATTCTTAATGATGGAAACTCACTGGGGTGACCTATAACCAGCCATTTTCTCTCTTATCCCAATCTACCTCACACAACTGTTGTTACAGCAATAGACCAGAGAAGACAGAGAAATACATGAATCAAATACTACATTCTCCACTGTTCACAGATTTCACTGCAAAGGTTTTTGAGCATCAACGATTGGTCAAAATCCCAGGATACCACAGGCAGTTTCTACAATGACCTGCACTTGTTCATGAGAAGTGGTGGATGAACTTTTTTGATCTAGTTCTGACCCTTTACAAATTGAGGGCACAGTCTTGGTTACTCGTCCCTAGCCCAAACAATATTCAGGGAAACATTTCATCTTTCAAATTGTTTGTGGGACAATATTCTCACAGGAGGGAAAAAGAAAAACAACAAGTCCAGTTTCCAAAACCATTCCTGTCACATTGGTGACTTTCGGTTCTACAGTATATTAGTAGTAGGACAGACACAACAGACTGGAAAAGGATCAGTAATCAAAGGTTCAACTAACAGTTGCTTTTGCTACATTTGCGATAATTTCTGAAGTTCTCCTGGAAGACTTCAGGGTGAGATGTTGCGTAGCAGAAATGGAGGGTGCTGTGGATTTAGGGAATTCATATCACTTGCTGCAAGTGTAATATTTGCTGCCCAGTTCTTGCAAGATTTTAAGCAGGCAAATACAGTGTCTGGGCTCCAAACACCCCTTCATTTAAAACAAATATCTGACTGTTACACAAAATACTACCAAATGTAGGGATGCACCATATGCTAAGACTCAAATCTTAATTCAGTAATTTATTACTTTTTTTAAAAGACCAGCAAATCCTGTCTATGGATATGCCCTTCTTTCTGTTGTATCTGCTCTGAGTTAACAACTCAGAAATATTTAGTCACTTAAAGGTCAAAGATTGCAAAAGCTGAAACTGTGACCATAGATTTAAAAATGTGTTTGTTTCTTAAAACAAAATTTAGCCTGAAGCCTAGATAAATGACATCCTCAAAAGAGTTCCGTCCTGCAGTTCCTATCACTTGATCATCAATTACCAGTTATTAAAATAATTCAGATTAATTTTACAGCATGTGTTAATTGAATTCGACTCTAACTTAACAACAATTGGATACTGAACATCTGATTCTCCTCCCATTTTCTGATCTGCCTCCAATGATTTGGCTAACCAGAGGTTATTGTTCTTTCTCAGGAGCAATGCTGCATCTAAGTTATTGCCAGTGTCATATAGCCTTCACATATGAAGGTGATGTGTTGCACCACCACAGGATGGAAGAGAATGACTACAATACCCCACTGAAGTGCTACTGAGGATTGCTTATACTTACCAATGTTTCTAACATGTAGACCAGACTTCTTCTCCCATCTGTTAAATTTGTTTAGATATATGTTGAAAACTGACAGTGTTTGGTATTTTCCATACTATTTGGAAATGGGTAGATTAGGATACAAATTAGAACCCATCACCATGTTTTGAGCTTTCTATGAAATTTGTTTACTCTTCTGCTGGACTGGTTTACTTTGAAGTCAGCAGAGCATCTCAAGCAATGCCCCAGACATCGTTTTCCACTTAGGGGGCTGTAATAATGAAAGTTACATAGCTTCCCCTGCCTTCCTCCCCACTATACTTTGCTTTTCTTGCTACAGGTATCAGCAGAGCATAGATCTCTTCCCTATCAGATTGGGAAAACAACCTTAGTTTACTAGTGTAAAACATCCTCTCCTATTCAACATTTTGGCTTGAAATATTAAAAAGGTCTACAATACCGTCTTCCATCCAAAGCAGAAACACAACAAAAACAACACCCAAATGTATTGCTACACAAGCCTATACACCTGTTTCTTTTTGTGTATGAGCGTGCAGAATGAATTTCATCTGAAGGCCACCAGATTCTTATACACAAAACATAATTCTATTATGTCTGGCAACACCGTGATGGAACACAATTTTATGCTGCACAAACGTACAGACAAAATAGTATGCACATGTTTTGAGGACAGACACACACATACGTACATACATGAGCAAGAATGTATATTTTGATTAAGGATCTTGGAAATAGACATTCTTAGCAAATATGGATGACAGATCAATTGTAATTTATTTTCTTTTAACACTGTATCATCATAAAGAAAACTGGTATAAATGAAAAAAAAATCTATTTCAAATATCTACATCTAAAATTTTAGGCAGTGAAAAAGCACTTTGTTGACAAGGAGTGTGGAATGATGAATGTTAATTATCAGAAACTGCTGAATGCCTTTTTTTTTTTAGTTGCCACAAACATTTCACATATCAGAACGAACAATACTGCTAAATATCAGTTTTTGTTTTCTCCTGTTAAAACATACTGGGTAAAAGAAAAAAAAGGAAAAGGAAAAAAAATCCCTCCCATACCCCTGGAAATTCATACATATTTCAAAGTTGTGTAATTGAAGCAATATTTAGAACCATAGATGAAGAAACACGGTGGCATTGATGTAATATACACAATGCACTTTGCTCCCTCTTTCTCTCTGGTTTTTTAAATCTGTAATGTACATCAAATACTTTACAACAATGCATTAACAAAAGGCAAGAAACATCTTGCTGTACAGAGGAAATCCCAAATGCAACTTGAAGCCTAAATTCACAATGGATGGAGAGGAAACAAAGGGTGGGAAGCTGTCCCCCATAAGGTTTGTAAACTGTTCATTTTCTTGTGCTTAACTCTGGACTCACTTCAGTGGTTGTAACTTCCCTAACTTCCTTCAGCCACATTCAGTGTACAGTACTATTGGTTTTAAACTCTACATTACAAGGTCAACTGCGAAGCTGCCCTCCCCCCAGTATATTTCTATATCTATATTTAAGAGATAGGATTCTATAGATACAGAAATAGATACACATCCCACTCTTTCTAATAACACGCCCGCACTTAGTTTCCCATTCTTTTAGCCATCTAAAGATACCTTAATTGTTCCAGACTGAGTATTAGGGCCTTCCTACGGAACAGGCTTTAACAAACTAAATTTGCAGGAAAAGAATGTCTTGTGATATGCATGCACATGCACAGTTCCTGGAGCTCTTCTTTTTTTTTCCTTGCCCAAAATCTCAAACCCAGGAATCTGGAGAGGCTGGATAGTGGCTTGTTTCATAATTAAGTTCACTATAGGGCCGAGCAGCAGAATAGAAATCAACGTAGTTGCCAGTGGACTTGAGTCCCAGGTGCATGTTGTACTCGCTGGCAGGTGGGCGATGATGCACTTGGTCTTCGAAGAAGGACTCATCATAGTTTCTTGATGAATTTTGAAATGGCTGATATGGTTCGTATTCCTTTCTTGTGGGCTCCTGCGGGACCGGCTGTGTTGAAACCTGTCAACAGAATAAGAAGTCTTGGCTTGTTAGAGAAGACTATAATGATGGGAAACAAACTGCTATGTCACTTAAGAGTGCAGAGCAAGGTTCCTCTTCAGCGGGACTTATTAGACAGACAACGTGAACATTACCGAAATTTCAGCTGCTACAGAAAACATCTTAGTCTTCCTGGATGAATGCCAATCTTCTCCAAAGATTGCTTTACATTTGCATTTGCAACCACTTTTAACAGAGGTTTTCCTCTCAAAGACCAATAAGATCACACAGATTGGGCCTCCTCCGGGTGCCGTCGGCCGGTCAATGTCGGTTGGCGGCTCCTCGGGGGAGGGCCTTCTCTGTAGCTGCTCCGGCCTTATGGAACGATCTTCCCGTAGAGATCCGGACCCTCCCCACTCTCTCGGCCTTCCGTAAAGCTATTAAGACCTGGCCTGGGGCTGTTGATTAGTATCCAGCCCCACTTTAATCAGTATGTATGATGTGTATTTTAATTATTGTATTTTTATTTTAGTTTTTATATGTCCCTTGTATTTCTGTAAGCCGCCCAGAGTCCCTGGTGAGTGGGCGGCATACAAATGTCAATAAACTTCAAACTTTTCCTCAAAAAAGGGATAAAATAGACTTCACACTAAACTTTTACAC